CCAGGGAAGCGCCTATTCCACTGAGCCATTTTCTTGGCTTCATTTTATCTTCTATATTCTGTAAATTTTATGTCTGTGCTGAAAGTAGATAAAATAGGTAGGGGTTCTTGCTTATTTTATTCACTTGTATCTAATGTGTTGTTGAATGTATCCATTGAATCTGTAACTTCAGAAGCTACCTGTTTTCTATTTCTTGATGATGTTAAGGGGAAGAGAAGCCTTTTTAAAAAATGGTGATTTGCTCTCTTCTGTTTTGACTTGTGTCTTTTTATTTATTTATTTATTTATTTATTTGTGTGTGTGTGTGTGTGTGTGTGTGTGTGTGTGTGTCCAGCTCAGCCCACCAGGGGGCGAGGCTGGCTGGCATGTGGTGCTGGGGGATTGTGGTCCCTGTGTTTTGCTTAGCTTAGGTGCTTTAGACCACTGAGCCATCTCACCAGCCCCAACTTGTGTCTTTTTAAAATGTTCTTAATCACAGCAAACATATTTGATAGCTGAGTATAAGAAGTCTCAACTTGCCTATAGTTTCAGTTAATGAATGTTGCCCCTACTCAATTTGGGTGACAAGTTACATGGGTCACCCCATTAATTATCTGGATCTGCCAATTCCACTCTCCGAAGTTCTCAAGGTTCCATCCTATGGCTTGCTGAGTTTGACAGCTCTGCTTTCCTGCTTGCTTTGCAGTTTTGGACTATGAGCTCATGCTGGAGTTTTCTCCGCAGAATTCCAAGAGCCCTGAGTCTTCCAAAGGGGCCTACTCTATGGGGCTGAGAAGACAGCTCAGTGGTCTAAAGCGCCTGCTTAGGCAAGTGTGCAGGGACCGCGCATCGATCCCCCGAACCGCATGCCGAGGCAGCCCCCCGCCCAGGGCTGGCTGAGCTGGCCAAAAAAGCAAAACAAAACAAAAAAGCCAGAGGAGTCTACTTATGTACATTTCTTGGTTTAGGGGTCGCAGGACCCTGCAGATAGCATGAATCTGCTACTCAAGGGCCTGAGTTCAACCGCCAAAAAGAAAAAAGAAAAAAAAAAAAAAAAGAAAAAGAAAAAGAAAAAGGAAGCCACGTGGGCCACACGCACAGTGCAGACGGTCTCGCAGAGGGCAGAGTGTCACCAAGCAGGCCGCAGTGGATTGTGGGAAAGTAGGCAGCCAGTGTGGCTGCGGAGAGGAAGAATGAATGTGTGGCAGGAGGCAGCTGCAGCCTTCTGGTCTCTGAGGCCAGCTCTGGTCTGGTTCAGCTAGATTCTGGGTTCTCTACTTTGCTTCTCACTTTCTCTCATGGAGGATGCTCTCTCTTCAGTTCCATGATCTCACCTGAAAGCTTAAGTTTCCAGAGCGAAGAGGTATTTCTCTGGAGGAAATCTGAGATGATCTCGGCCCCCTCCAAGCCCAGGTTGTTCTCGGAAATATTCTAAAAGGCAAGAGCACACTCATGTATGTATAAATCCCAGCAAAGGGCCCTCTATGACAAATGAGGATTCTGGGAGAGGGCTAAGTAAAAGGATTAGGAGGATTAGGGTCACAGAGAGGACCAGGTCCCTGCCTGGCCTCTCTGATGCCTGTCTGGAGGCTCAGGGTTGCTGCTGTCGGTTCAGTGGCTCCTTACTTTCAACCAGGTCAGCCCCAGTACTTTATTTTTGTATTTTTGTATTTTAGGGAAGGGTCTACAGGGTGTTCAGGGTCTCACTACTAGGTCGCACTCAGAGTGATTCGCCTGTTCACAGCCTCCCAAGAGCTGGGATTACAGGCGTGCACCACCATGACCAGTCTCAATTACCATCTCAGTGCGCCCTAGGGGGCTGGCAAGGCAGGCCCAGGGATTGAACCCCTGGCCCCTGCATCTGCCTAAGCAGGAGCTTTAATCTGCTGAGCTATTTGGCTGGCCCTTCAGCCCCAGTATTTTAATGGGTGCATTTTTCTTTTCTTGAACACAAAACAGCTTCATTTGGAGAATTTGACTTCAGCATGAAACAAAAAGTGAGCTTGCAGTGAACAGTGTGTAAATTTCATTCAACAATTCGCAAAGGATGATCCCTGCACTAGAGAGAAGTAGGGATAAACCCCGACACAGTCTTATTAGGCTAGTGGGACAGACCTTACATAAACCAGCCAGTGTTGTCTTATCTGGTTTTCTTCTTAAAAATTTTATGGTGTTGGGGCCGGGGAGATAGCTCAGTGGAATAAGCGCTTCCTTGGCAAGCTCAAGGGACTGAGTTTAATCCCCTGTTCCGAAACAAAACAAATCACATTGGGGCTGGGGAGATGGCTCAGTAGAATAAGCACTTGCCTGGCAAGTGCAAGGACGTGAGTTCAATCCCCAGCTCCACAAAAAAAAAAAAAAAAAAAAAAAACAAAAACAAAATATGGAACTCAATATTTATCATCTTAGGCATTTTTAGGTGCACAGGTTATTGGTATTAAAAAAATTCTTATTATCGTACAACTATGACGGGCATCTGTCTCCAGATATGTTGTATTTTATGAAATTATTTCATGCCTTTACTTCCTTTAATAAAGTTCACTTTAAGGTAATTGTGCAGAAGTGAATGTATCCATTGAGGGGCTACTGGGGTGCAGACAGGGCTGTTAGGGATTGTTTTCTTTTTTTGGCAGAACTGGGGATTGAACTCAGGCCCTTGTGCTTGCCAGGCAAGCACTTATTCTACTGAGCCATCTCCCTAGCCATGTTAGGGTTTTCTACAGCTATAGGGAACACAGGTCCCAGGTCAACCTCTGGTGCATGGCCCTCCCTGAGAAGTCACATCTGGAGGGGAGGAGCCTGTAGACCTGGGGCAGGCACTCCCAGGCTGACCTGGGCCTGGCAGGGGACTGTGGCTTGGCTGGAGTGGGTGGCAGGAGGCGGCAGTGGAGTAGGCGCAGTACCAGCTCCTGGAGATAGTAGTTCTCTTGTAGCATCTCCACCAGGCTCAGAACGCCCTCCTCCATGATGCAGTTGTCTTCCAGCTCCAGGGCGATGATAGCTGTGTTGGACTTCAGCCACCGCAAGGGAAAAGAGAAGTGGTTGGTGACCTTGCCCACTGTGGTTCAGAACTTGTCCTCCCTCTTTTTTTCTTTTGTAATGTATTTTGTTGTTGCAGGGTCTCACTATGCAGGTTGGACTCATAGTGATCCTCCTGCTTTCAGCCTCCCCAGTGCTGGGATTTACAGGTGTGCACCACCACACCTGGACTCTGGCTGGCTCAGCCAGCCTGCCTGGAAGCGGGGCTGGCATGGCATGTGGTGCCAGGGATCAAATCGTGGTCCCTTCGATCCCTGGGCTTGCCTAAAGCTTGCCTAAGCAGGTGCTTCAGTCTGCTGAGCTATTTCGCCAGCCCCCTTGTCCTCCCTTTTGAGCATCCCAGTTATGGGAAAGGGTGCTGTGGTTCAGTTGTGCCTTTGCCCCAAGGGTTCATGTGTTGGAGGCTCAGTACCCAAATTGACCATCTGAAGCGTTAATGGGACCCCTGAGAGGTGGGGCCTAGGAGAAAGTCATCACTGACCCTTCCCTGGGTCTTCCCCTGTCATCATGTCATCGCTTCCTCTCGCAGGCACATTGCCATTGTGATGCCAGCTGCCACGTGGCTTTCATCAGAGCCAAGCTGGTGTCGGCTCCATGCCCTTGAAGGTCCTGAGCTTAATCTCCACCTAAAGTTACCCAGCTTCAAGTATATTGTTATAGTAATGGGAAATGGGCTAATTTGGGAGGTGCAGGGGTACAGGCCAAGAGTGAGGAAGGGGTGAAAAGGACAAGGAGAGTGCGCAGAGGAGAGGCCATGCACTGAGTCCCTCTAGAACGTGCTCTTCCGATCTACAACAGGGCCATGAGTCAATTCAAGGCCTGAAAGAAAGAGCCACAGGGACGAGCTAAATAGATTCTAACCATGGAGCCTCAAGGAAAAAAGAACTGTTACCTACTGCAAGATGGAGGGAGCCTGTATATACTTAACAAGGGAACATAAACAGAGACTGTTCCCAGGAGGCCCTTGAAGGCATTCGCTTTGCCTGTCTAAGAGCTTTTTCAGTTTAGCCTTAGTTTACCTTATTCTCTCCCTTCCACCCTCCCTCTGTCCTTCCCTTTCCCTCCTGTCTCTCCCTCCTCCTTCTTTCTTTCTCTCCCTTTCCCTCCTCCCTCTTCCTCCTTCTCTCTCTCCTCCCTTTCTCTCCTCCTCCTCCTCCT